CCAGGCAGCTGTTTCAGTCTCAGAGTCTTTGCTGCAGCTTTTCTCCTCTGTCAGTATTCTTTGAAGCTCAGCTTCCTTCTCTTGTATTGTTTACTCTAACTGGTGAGGGCCTAGTGAATCTGATGGGTTTCAGGGACTTCCTAAAGCTATCTTGAGTTGTTTGCCTTCCCATTGAAAAAGCTCCCCTACAGGAATATATTCAATGTTAAGACAACATAGACAAATTCCCCATATTAACCTAGATGTAAAAAAAATCATATAAAGTATTTAGAAACTGAATCCAAGAACACATCAGAAAGATCACTTACCATGGTCAAGTAGGCTTTATTCCAGAGATGCAAGAATGGTTCAACATATGTAAATTGATAAACACAATCCACCATATAAATAAACTGAAAGACAAAAAAAAAAAGCATGATAATCTCATTAGATGCAGAAAGGGCCCTTGCCCTTGACAAAAATCTAACACCCTTTCCTGATACCTGGAGACATTAGGGATACAATGGACATACCTAAACACAATAAAGTCAGTTTACAGAAAGCTCATAGCCAACATCAACTTAATGGAGAGAAACTCAAAGCAATTCCACTATGTCTACTCTCTCCATACCTACTCAATATAGTACATGAAAATAAAAGAACTACAGCTATTTCCTTACCCAATTTGACTATTTATGTGACTCTCATGGAAGAAGAAAAGTTCAACCTGGAAAAAAGATACAAGAGCCATGAAATTTTCAACAGTGCAAAATCCTAAAAACAAACAAACAAAAAACCCTAGAGGTTATAACTTAAACCACCACACTTTTCACAGATTGTGAAAAGCTTTATGTGATATACGAGGAGTCTGGATGTTCTGTCTGAGTATTTGCTGATGTGTAACCAGAAAAGATAGCAGGTACAATTTAGAAGTGTTAGAAATCCCTGTGAAAGTGAGCAGCAATGTCTTAATGGTAGCCTTTGATGGATGAAGAAGGCTTGAGGCAGGTGATGGGGCGGAGAAGAAATGGGGAAGGTTAGCATTCAAGATGAATGAAGATACAATCATCAGCATCTTAGCTCAGCCAGCAGCAACACAAAAGTGATACATGATTCATTCATATGTGTACTGAGCAAAGACCAAACCTCCTGAGTAGTATACAAAAGGACACACAGCATTTAAATGTTCCCTTTAAGAGTGGTAACTATTTGTAATACTGTCTTTGATTTCATTAAGATTTGTTTTATGTGTCTGTGTGTGGTTAGATGTACTTGAGTTCAGGTGCCTATTGAAGCTACCTGAGGAGTTGGATTCCTGGAGCTGGAGTTACAGGCAGTTGTGAGCGGCTGACACAGGGATGGAGCCTAACTTGGGTCCTCTGCAAGAGCAGTTTTTGTTCTTAACTGCTATATTGTCCTACTAGCCCCATCTTCATGTTTTAAAATAGATTTTTATTTGGCATTTATTTTGTGTTACTATTCCCTTTGGTTTTAAATTTACCATCAAATGTTTGTTTCAAGGTGGGATCATGTTTGCATATGATTTTACTATACCATGTTAGCTTAAATAATATTAAACCATTTATTTATCATTATCTTTTAAACAGAACTTCTGATACTTTTATATGAGAAATTGTTCACTGCTATTGGGATCATTCATTTTTAAGCTGTATAAATCATGAAAATATAAATTTATTATATTAGGCATTCTTATTAATCCTGTAAAAATACCAATCATTGACATCTACTGAGAATTTCACACACTAGAGGCTTTTCTACATTTCTTAACCAAGTTTTCTCAGGATTTTAAATACATATATCCCAAGAAATACTTGTGTGGATATGGCACCAGTCAGCATCCTGGTCATCTTAACACATGCAGTGTCTCATTTGGTTCTCACAGGTATAGGGGCTTTTCTAGTTCTTGGCTCACAGTTACAGACAAGGAAGCTAAAATACACATCCTCCATAGAGCTAGTAGGAAGCAGAGCAGACTTGAACACAAGCTGTCCAGCTCCCAAACACATGTTCTTAGCTAATGCACCGTTTGACCCAGCCAGATGTAGGCTCTGGATCTGAGAAAACAGATGGCACTGGGAAGAACCACATATATTTGTTTCTCGGATTCTGAAGGGCTGCTAGGTCACTTCTGCAGTCTTTGTGTGATTCAGTGCTTGTGCAAACCAGAACAGTGGGTTTATCTGTCTTTTCACCTCCCCCGACCCACTGTGGTTCCCCAAGCTGCATGTCCCTGTTTCGAAGAAGGAAGATCAAAGGGACAGTTCCCCTCATCCTTCATGTCAGCAAATTGCTCCTGTCCCAACACAGACCTGACTGGTTTCGGGGTGGGAATGTATACTTTTCTGAGGCATCTGGTGTTTGCTGAGGGCTTGCTGCTTCTCCTAGTTCAGCTCTCCTGATTTGTTTCTTCTTAATCCCTCCTTATCAATGTGTGTGTGTGTTATCTGTCACCTGATTACACTTGAGTAAGCTGTACCATGGCATGTCAGCCTCCTTGAGCCAAGTTTTCACCTTTTCTATTGGCAAATGCTCACAGTGTCTGCATCTGAAAAAAAAAAAAAAAAAGACACCTGGCCTCAGCTTTTAAAAGTAACTCTTCACAGCAGCATCCCTGCTAGTTGACTGCTTTGGTGCACGCCCGAGTGCTGCTTAGAGCAGCTGTTTAAAATTCCCCCAGTTGTCTCTGGGGATGTCAACAAAATTAGTGGTTTGATGTGAACTGATTGAATTTTTAGAGTTTTGGGGCTTAAGAGGAAAAATGGAAGAAAACCAGTAGCAGCGGTATGTGGGATTGTAGGGTTGGTAGCCCCGGAGTTGGTGCCTTTGTTTTCTGGAAGCTTTGGGGAGGTTGAAGGAGGAATTCTGCAGATGGTTGGTTTGTTAGGCCCTTCACATGGTTAGGTGCTGTGTAGAGATGCACCCGTGTAATAAGGTAGCTCTAAATGTCTTACTGGAAGGCAGGTGTACTTGTGAAGATTATGGTCTTTGGGCCTGGACAGGTCTGGTTTGACACACTGCTGTGACTTGTGTAAATCTGATATCAAGGCTACTCTGAGATTTCCCAGTTTCAGAAAGCAGGGAACATAGAACCTAAGCATACTGTGAATATTAAATCAAACCTTCTTAAAGCTCTCTCTCTCTCTCTCTCTCTCTCTCTCTCTCTCTCTCTCTCACTCACACACACACACACACACACACACACACACATTGGAAAAGGAAATAATGCATGCAAACCAAGTATCCATTAAGTGTATTGGCTTTGCTGAGTACAGTCCATCCATGTAAGATAACCATGTAATACGGATATAAGCTGTTATTCCCATAGAAAGGGCAAATACCAAATTTCTCTCCTTTGTCTGGTCTGTGATATTGATGTTACTTCAAGTAGGTTTGATGATTCCATCATTCATGAACACATCCCATTATATTGTGTTTGAAGGCTTGGACAACCCTGGCAGCATTGATATATGGGGACCAGTGGCTGTGGTTTCTTCCTCGCTTATATTCTATTAAATTTCCAGGTGCTCATTAGGTGGCCCTCCCTTGTGCATCCTAAGCAACCTGAGGGCTGTAGCCCTGGCTGGCTTTTAACCCACTTACCGAGACTCCTTGCCTCATTAAGGTCTGTCCTGTTGATATTCCTGGCACTATTCTCTGGATTACGCAACACAGAGGGAGAGTCTTCAGTATTTACGCAGTAAATGAAGGAACTGATAATGCCAGGCCCCTGTGGCTTTGATGTAGATAAAGATGAAAACTTTTAGCAGATAACTAAAACTTAGTCCCATATAAAAGTCAAGCCAGGGTGGGGACAGTTCCCAGTGTAGGCTCAGGAATTCTTGGACTTTGTGTCTGGTTCTTTTCACATGCGCCATTAAGAGCCTTCCCCATTGGCTTCTAAGTTTGCATTTTTTGGATCCTTCTAATGACAGGTGTGTTTTCTTTCCAGCTAAAGGGAGACAGTGAGGCCCAGAGCAAAGGTATTAGATGGTCATCCATACCATTGCAGTCTCTAGTCACCAGCTGTGTATTCTTATTGGCCAGCTTTCTAAAATTTCAGTGTCTGTATTTGTTCAGTAGACTAATAATAAAAATATCTTAAAGGGTCATTGGAAAAATAGCTACATATAAAGATTTGCCTCATGCTTGGTGTATGTTTTGATACCGTGGTAAATCATTTAAATTTTGTAGAAACAAATTACTAAACTGTGTTGGTACTGTTAAGTTGTCCATGTATTACCGGTTAGAGCATTTCTCAATAAGCCAGTGTGGTGGCTTTGAAAATACAACACAGAATAGAACCTCCTTATACAACAACATTCACTGGCTACTATAGCTTTTTCTACTCTGGATCCAATGCTGCTTTGCATCAAGGCCAAGGTTTCCTGAGCTGCCCCTAGAGGGGTAAGGGGCACAATGGAGCCACTAATGTAGGACCATTCCTGCAATGACATGGCATGTCTTCAGTAGATGACTTTGGCCCAAGGATGCTCCATATACATGGTGGAAAATTCTGTGAAATGGTGCTGTGGACTGAGGCTCCTCTTTTCCAGACTCCCTTCTGTTCCCTTTCCAACATTTTATGACCCTTAGAAGTAGAGCAGAGTTGATTTTTTATGTCATGTGTAAAATGAACTGCATAGGCTCTAACCTGTTACTGTGTTTCCCTAGAGTTACAGTGTGATGCTTCTGATCACAGACTCTCAAGGACAAGCCAAACCTCCCTAGTCAGGAAAGACCACTAACAGTAGGCTATGAATCACTACTCTGGATCTCCAGTTTCAAGGTTGTCCTTATTTAGGACAATCCTTAATAGTTCTACCTTTAATATGCAGTCATGATTTTCTTTAACATTTGTTAATCAACAGTTTCTCCTCCCATAAAAAAGCAAGAAAATTGGCAACTCTCCAGTGTTTGTATAATGTCATCTTTGTGCTGATTTTTTTTGTTTTCCTTCTTCATTCCATCAAGCTGTCACTTGATTATTGTCTTTGTGACAGACCAGGTCCAGGGAACAATCACCATTCGGAATATCAGTGCCCTGTCTTCGGGTCTGTACCAGTGTGTGGCTTCTAATGCCATCGGGACGAGCACCTGTCTCCTGGATCTCCAGGTTATCTCAGGTAAGTACATAGAATTAGAAGGCCAACTCAAGGTGTAGATGTCAAAGACTTTTGTTAAGTCATAAAATGCAGGGTTCTACCTAATTGTTTTGAGATTGTGTAAAGAGTAAGCAAATTCTTTTAATAATTGCTAAAAATATTTTATAAAAATTTTTACTACTTAAGCCTCTTTGATATGCCAGTCCTCATGACAGAGTGTCTTCTCAGGGCCATCAGAACAAACTAATCTTCATGTCATGGTGCTGTAGACATGACATAATCTACAGTCATGGTAGTATACAGTCTCAGAATACTCTTGGGTTTCCCCCCATAATCCCTTGGATTTTCTGGGTGTTCAGTTATAAACAAGCAATGCACTTCCTTTTGGTGGGAGAAATCTAGATTATTTTTATTCTGGTTGTAGGAGGGAGTCATGTGACCAGGATGAAGCAATAAAAAACTCTGAGCTCCAAGGCTCTCTTGGGGCACTAAGGCAAGTTGAGTAGGCACTGTCTCCTGCCCTCTCCAGCTGCTGCTCTTCTGGGGCCTTGGGAGCTTTGGGTAGTTCACTCACTCATTCAACAATTTCTGGAAGTCTACTGGGAATGTCAAAGTTTGGGCAAGATCTGACTTCATGTGCATGCGATGCTTTAGGCAGTTTTGTACATTTTAAACAGACTTATTTGTGTGAATATTGTTGCATGGTATGTGCTGTTTCTCTCTTGTTTCTTTAAATCCACCTTAAATATGTTTTGCAGCCCAGCCCCGAAGTATTGGAGTGATAGCTGGAGCTGTTGGCACTGGTGCAGTTCTTATCATTATTTGCATTGCACTAATTTCAGGGGCATTCTTATACTGGAGAAGCAAAAATAAAGAGGAGGAGGAGGAAGAAATTCCTAATGAAATCAGGTTAGTTTATCAGATTACTGATCTTACAGAGTCAGTGTGCATTTCTGTTCATTTTAGAGTGATGGTTTCTTTGCCAGTCTTATAACTCTTATGATCAAGGTAATGGAAATGTCCAAATGTCATTTTCTCGTTATGTGCATATCACTTTCTCTCATGGTCATACTTATTTTTATTCACCAAGATCCTTCATGAATCTAAGTGAGATGAAGAGCTTCCCTGTGCCTCTACATCTGCAGGGTGGATAGTGATGGTCACACCAGAACAGTTAGCCCATGAAACCTGTGTTTTATATTGGCCATTATAATAGATGGGAACAACATCAGCAAAGGGGATTACCTCACAAACATACCAGTTTCTCTACCTACTGATACATCTGACCTGTGGCTTGGTATGAAGGAGCATATTAATCATGTGTCAACATAATAATAATATACACCAGGCATCATACTTTATACAAAAATACTTTTGGTTGATGCTTCTGAAGGAGCTATGTCTAGGGGTTGCCAACTGGTCGTGGCTTCCTGTCTGAATCACAAGGTAGCACATAGCATCACACAGAAAGAGACAGGATGTGTGTTTCTGTCTGATCTTTCTTTTCCTACAAAGCAGTTGGGATCCAGTCATTGTGTCCTAACCTGATGACCTTATCTTGTTCTAAACACCAGCCAGAGCTCCTGCTTCTCAATGCTATACTTGAGTACATTTTACCCTGAAGAGCACCCCTCAGTGGAGATCAATTTTCAGCCCTTAATCTTAATCCCTTAATGGGCTTTCCAAGACATAAAAAATATAGCAGGCAGTTCATAAAAGAATACCAGTGTTGTGAGGGTCCAGACTGTCTCAGACTTGACTGTGTTATATCCTTGTTGATATGCTTTAATGACCCGAGTCTTCTCAGCACAACATACTCAGCTTTTGGAATTTGGTTCCCCTTCCATCTCTGGCCTTCCTCTCTGCTGCTGGCTCTCTGTGTTTGCATTCCATAGCCATCAGCACACCATCAACACACCACAATGGTTCTTCTAGTTCTGCTAGTAATGCAGTCTAGACACCATGAGTGACTTTTTCACTGTTCACATGCTTAGCTTGCTTTCTTGGGTGTTTTATGACAACTAATTCAGTGGATTTCTTTGAGGTGTGTATAACTTAATTCTTGTTTCCTTTCAGAGAGGATGATCTTCCACCTAAATGCTCTTCTGCCAAAGCATTTCACACAGAGATATCCTCCTCAGAAAATAACACCTTGACCTCTTCCAATACCTACAACAGTCGATACTGGAGCAACAATCTCAAAACCCATAGAAACACAGAGTTATTCAACCACTTCAGTGACTTACGCCAGTCTTTCCCTGGCAATGCCATTATCCCATCCATCTATGCAAATGGGAACCATCTGGTTTCTGGTCCACATAAGACTCTGGTAGTGACAGCCAACAGAGGGTCATCACCCCAGGTCATGCCCAGGAACAATGGTTCAGTCAGCAGGAAGCCTTGGCCTCAGCACACACAGTCCTATACTGTCAGCCACGTGACCCTGGAGCGCATGGGTGCAGTGCCTGTCATGGTGCCTGCCCAGAGCCGGGCAGGATCCCTGGTGTAGGATGTTTGAGGATGCTGTGTTCAGAAGAGAATAAATGGAATGCCTCCCAAAAAGGGGGAGAGTGGGGGTGGGTGAGTGCTGGAAAGATATACCTTTGTACGGTTACATTAGTAAAAAAGCATCAAGAAGGTGGTGCTATCCCCTGGCCACTGTGATGTGTGAAGTGGCCTGGAATATTCCGTCATCAAGACTCAAAAAGACTGTTTTCCCACCACAGTTATCCTGGGAGTTAGTTAAAAATGCTGCATCTCAAATGACGTGCCAAGCCAAGGAGAATGCTAGAAGCAGAATAGCACTTATGACCCAAACCGTGGTCCAGTGGACCTCTTCTTTAATTCTTGCCTAACTTAATAATTTTCAGGAGACTCTAAGTGCCAGGTGGAATTTAAATATTGAAATTCTTTTTTTAAAGTAGGTGTCTTTACAAAACAAATAAACAGGAACGAGCTTGTGGCCTGTTCTGTCTCACCCACTCCCCTTTAATGGTGAGGGCTTAATGGTACTAGTGATGCATTCCAACTGGGCTGGCTCTTTTGTCATAGAGGCAAAACTTTGTTCAGAACACAATTTGGCTAGAAATGGGGAAAAATAGGGGAACTTTTTGTGAACACCCTACACACTTATTTATTTACCTCTTCCTGAACCGAGAATTTCCTTATTTGGGATTTTGCTATCTTGACAGATTCTTGTCTGTGTTACTCTGGGATCTCATACAGGTCCATGGCAATTACTGTTCATGATTTCCTGAAAAAATATTTTTTTAAAAGAAAACTTATTTTTTTTAAATACTTGAGAGACAGTGGACTGGGAAAACATGAACTTAACACCTTGTCCAGTGATTGTACTGAGTGACTCAGTGGAAGGCCCATCACAGTTCAGGGGATTGAGTGGGCTGTAAAACAAATCAGAGGCAGGTAGGAGGGACCTTTGCCTTGCTGTGGGGCCCCAAAGAAGTAAGGTTGTGTATGGCAACCCTGCTATCACACAGGCCACTTTTAATGAGGGCAGTGCCTGATGTCTTTTGTACTGAGGAGGATAATTCCCTATTGTTTGACAAGTAGAGGTTAGTAGGTTGTTACAAAAAGGGCAGGAGTTATTTAGGTTTTGTTTCTTTCAAATAATTCTCTTTTGCAAAAGAATAATAAGGATTAGACAAATGGGTAATCTTCCAGTGTGCTCTTGGGGGTTTGCTCAGCATCTGAAAAGGTGGGTGTGCAACTTTGCCTGAATGCATTGCATACCAGTGTAAAAAGACACCCCACCCCCCTTTTTTTTGGCTGATTACTTGGCTTGCTAGCCTTGCAATTCACCAGATTCATTTACAGACTCTCTGCTCTATATTGTGCTCTGTGTATTTGGCTATACTTGTATTGTTGACTATCTTGCCTTAATCACACTTTAGGGCAACTCATGGTGATATCTTCCAAGATTTTGTTTTTTAAATTGTTTGTACTGAGCCCACAATTTTCAAAGAACATCACCTCCCCCCCCCATTCTGTTCCCTCTATCCCTCTTTCAACAACCTTTTTGCCTTCTTTGCCTGTGGGCATAGTCTTCACAGGGAGTGGCCTCCTGACTTCAGTTATTTGAGTGAATGGAAACTACCAGTGATTGCCTATACTGTTTTTCCAAGAGGGCCATACTCTGAACTTCACTATTGTGACCATTCAGTGTTGCTAAGAAGAATTTACCATAGTGTTACCCCCCATTTGATGGTTCTTGACTTTGTAAAAATTTAAATAAATGAATGTCTATACTTTTTCAAGAAAAGTGAAAATACCATGCCGCAGAGGAGATAATACTATCAGATGCTGTTTAGAAGGCATTTATCTTGCATTTCTTTATTCTTTCTAATTACCTAAAATTCAATAAAAATTTATTCATATAAAATGTGTTGTCATTAATTGTCATAGTAGTAATGGATGCATGACCTTGGTGTTATATGCAGTCCTTTATCTGTAAATTAATATTCATAATCTTTTTAATGTACATATATTTTTAAAATGACTTAACTTCCCTTGTATCTGACTTTTAAGTGGATTACAGTTGTCACTCATAGGACTGTGTATGCAGTGACCCCTGGGAACATCTATTTCCATGTCATTAATCTGAAAGTTCCTGAAAATGGGCGTTAGACCTGAAGTTAATCTATAATCCCCACCTGCCCAAGGACCAGGTAACTTCTTGGAGTTGGAGATCTTGGAAAATAACAACACCTCATGGGAAAGCATGGTGGCCTATGGGTTTTGCCTATATAAACCTCACCAGCATGTGTGTGGAGGTCACTTACCTGGAAAATTTCCGGGTGATGGTCCTGACCAAAATTCCATCTTGGTCAGTATTTAATATTTTAATAAAAACTTGCATAAATTCAGCCCAAAATGATGGAACTGTTTTGTTCTGGCAAATTTCAGTTTAACACAGGATCGAGGCTGTTCTCACTACTGAATCCCCCATCACCTACCACATGAGCACTGCATAAATAAACGACTGAGGATTGCTGAGGTGAAATTGCAAAATCAAATTAGGGGCATGATTGAGTAGTAGTTTCTGATATATATTGGAATACATTTTTCTGAACTAAATATGAGTCTTTGATTTTATATTGAGGTAACAATTGTACATTAATTTACAGGCAGATGTAAGAAACACAGAGAGCACAAATCCCTTTAACTTAATTTCTCTGCCCAGAGACTCCTTGAGCAGCTATGATATATCATAAATGAGCATTAATAAATTCACTGGTCTTATTCAGAATTCAAAACCTGTACTTTCACTCAGTTGTGGGTTTATACTAATGTACTTTTAATTGGTGAGGATGGTCTCTCTCAATAGTCCAATATGGTCTTGAACTTGTTGTCTTTCTATGTCTGAGTCTCAAGTGTTGGGATTACAGGCATGCCCCATCAGACCTGGCTCCAGTTATATACAACTTCATCATATGTAGTGTAGATTCATTCGGCCATCACAGCAGCTGAGATGTGCTATTCTTTCATAGTCAGCCATTTCCTTGTTCACTGGCCTCCTGATACTTGAAAACTACTGCTCTGCGCTCTGTCTCTACTATTTTGTCATCTTGATAATGCTGTATAAATGGAATAAAATATGCAACTTTAAAAATTGGCTTTTTCTCAAGATCATCTACTTGAGAACCATCATTGTTGTTGCATATCTGAATAGTTTGTTCCATTCAATTGCTGAATAGCATTCTATGTTGAACACACCCCAGTTCAGTTACCCACTTGTCCACTGAAAGATGGAAAAGACATCTGGGTTGTTTCCACTCTTGATTATCATGAATACATCTGCAAATATTTATGTGCAGATTTTCATGTGAACCTAAGTTTTATCTCTGAAGAAAATGGCAAGAGCAATTTCTGGTTTATATGTAGTAAACACATGCTTGGATTTGAAAAAAGAATGCATAGTGTTCTTTCAGAGTAACTAAACAGTTGCACATTTCTTCTAGCACAATGGGTAATCCAATTTCTCTGCATCTACTACATGTCTGGGTGTTATCAACACTTTAGTGTTAGCCAAGTTGGTAGGTATTTAGTGATAGTTCACAGTGGTCCCATGATTTTAACCTGCTCATTCCAGTGGCAAATGATCCTGATGGTTAATTTATTTCTATGTGCTTGTCATTCTTATCTTTTCTTCATCTGTTTTGGGGGTGCTTTTTGTTGTTTTTACTATTGGCTCTGGAGAGTTCTCTATTGTATATGAAAGATTTTTGTTGATATTTGCCAAGTTTCTCTTGTAATTTGTAGGTTACTTTTCAATTTTCTTCATGGAATCTTTTCATAGAACAGGTTTTAACTATAATAGGGGTATTACTGGGTGCAGTACCTATGCCCTGTAATGCCAGCTACTCCAGTGTCTGAGGCATGAGTTTTGTGAGCTCTCAGTCAAGGTAGGACAGTCACTTTCTTTCTTAGCTAAAATTCAGAGAAGTGATGTAAAAGATGTAAGAACCTACCAAAACCCAAATTAGATAAAGTCCAAATGACCACAAGTTTTTCCTTTCTAAGAAAATTGTTTTATTTAGTGTGTGCGTGCGCACATGAATGTGTAATACATGCACATGACATGGCCTATATGTGAAGGTCAGAAGACAACTTGTAGGAATCGATTCTCTCTTTCCATCAGGTTGATCCCAAGAATTGAACTCAGGTCATCAGGTTGGTGGCCAGCACTTTACCTGCTGAGTCATCTTATTGGCATATTTTTACTTTTATGGTATGATTTTTACATCAAATCTAAACTCTTCATTTAGATCCAGGTCCTAAATGGTTTTAGCAGATTCCCCTAAATTTTTTTTTATGCTTTCACACATTTGTCTTACTATGAAATTGTTAGGTTTTCTGACATTTTTTCTAAAGAAATGGTGCTTTAGTTCCTTGACCTGTCTTCGCTATTTATTCCTGTCAGGTTGTATTGAATTTACATTGATCTCATTTCCATTATTGTTTTGGGAATGAGGAAATTATTTATATAAAACTTATGTTGTTATCTAATGTATATATCTACAGCTGTTATTTCCCCCTTAGAACTGTTTTCACTACACCACATATTTTGGCATACTGTGTTTTAGTTTCCATCCATTTGTATGCATTTCACTTGAAACGTCCCCTTTGGTCAGATAGGTGGTTAGGTTGGTTCTCCTCTCTGTTTAGGTTGGTGTAACTATGATGAGAAAGGACACTCTATGATTTTAATTATTTTAAATTTGTTGAAGTTTGTTCATGGCTGTTCTTCGAAAAGGTCGGTATTAGTCTTTGTTCTATGAACTTTATTCTGAGCCAGGTGGCAGTGGCGCCTGACATTAATCCCTACACTTGGGAGGCCGAGACAGGCAGATCTCTGTGTGTTCCAGGCCAGCCTGGTCTACAGAGCCAATTCCAGGAAGGCTCTAAAGCTACAAGAACAAAACCAGAGAGATAGAGGAGAAGGGAAGAGAGGGAGAGGGGAAGAGGGGGAGAAGGAGAGAGGGGAAGAGG